TTCAGCTGCTAACCAAAAGGTCGGTGGTTCAAACCCATCAGCTGCTCCGTACGAGAAAGCGGAAGCAGTCTGCTTCCCTGAAGATTTACAGCCTTGGAAACCCTGGGAGACAGTAAGGATTTCTGTATATGGGAATGGACCATGGCAGTGGGTTTGGTTTTATACCTGTGGTTATAATCCCATTTGGGAATGGGTTTATTTGTTATGCTAATGTGAGAGTATTAGTGTAAAGTGTCTTAAATCAATGCCTTTTGAGATATATTGTTGTTATTATTTGCCGTGGAGTCAGACTGACTCATAGCGAGCCCTCCTTGGGTTTCTGAGGCAGTATCACTACCGAAATAGGGAAATAGATTGCCCAACCTTCCTTCCACTTGTGAGCTTTAAGAGCCGGTTCAGCAACCTCTCTTGGGGAAAGGCAGATGACATGCTACAAGACTGCCAAGGAATAGAAGCTGAAGAGACCAAGGTCTTTCTTCTCCCACAGCCGACAGAGAGAGAAAGCCTCCCCCTGGAGCAAGTGCCCTGAATTCAGACTTCTAGCCTCCTAAACTGTGAGAAAATAAATTTCTGTTTGTTAAAACCCCCCACTTGTGGTATTTGTTACAGCAGCACTCGATAGCTAGCCATGCTGGGCACAGACTTAACCTCTTTTTCCTCTCACTTTAACAGCTTTGGTACATTCAAAGGCCATCCTCTCAGAATTTTGGACCTTTTTCCTTCCTACCTGGGGATGGAGCAGCTACAAACTGTTGAAAACCAACCAGAGTTTCTGTAAAATAAAAGAAGTTTTATTCAGATTCAAAGATCTACAAATTGGGAAGGGCCAAAATGAAAGTTCAAAATGGCATTCTGAAGATGAGCATGAGTGGTCCTTTGAACTCAGTTTTGCAGAGCTCTGTACACAGCTGGGAAGGAGTGTAAGAACACATGGGCCACTTTACACTTTTTTTTTTTTTTTTTAAACAAAAATGAGAAGGATATCTTCTCTCCCTCTGCCACTTTAATTTTTAAAATTCTAATTTTTTTTTTTTTTTAAATTGTGATTTGGGTGAAAGTTCACAGAGCAAATTCTTTTTCCATAGAGCAGTTCATACATTTTGTTTCATGACATTGACTGCAATTCCCAATGTAACAACTCTTTTCCCACTTCCTCCCTGTAGTTCTCTTTTCTCTGTGTCCTTTTCTATGCATTCCTGCCCCATGAGCTGTCTCCCTGTGCAAACACTGTCCTGTTTTCCCACTACTCATCACTCTAAGGAGTGTGAAAGACCTGATGTAAATGTTCACCCTGTATGCCTACCCTTTGCCTGGAAGGCATGAGCTCAGTTCCAGACTTGAAGGGTAACTAGGGGTCATAGCTTGGGGATCTCACCAGGTTCTTCTGTAAGACCAGTAAACCTTTTTTTTTTTTTTTTTTTTTTAATGATTTTGAGTTTTATTCCACATTGTTCTCCCACTGTATCCAGGATCTCCTGCACTGATCCCTTTCCAAGTGGTTGGCAGTGGTAGGCAGCCACCATCTAGTTCTGGTCTCATGGTCATATAGGGTGAGGATCGAATGGCCTACTAGTCCCTTGGACTAATTGTTTCCATGTGTCTTTGGTCTTCTTCATTGTTCTTTGCTCTGGATGAGGAGTGACCCATTGTTACATCTAGATGGCTGCTTGCAAGCTTTAAAGACCCCAGTGCTACTCACCACAGTAGGATGTAGAACAATGTTTTTGTGGAGTATGTTATGGTAATTGAGCTTGATTTCTCCTGTGACCACGGTCCTGAGCCCACACATCCAACTATTCGCTCCCTCAGGGTAGTTGGCTGTGGCCGAGAAGTTATAGTAACTTTGCCCCTTGACTTTTTACTCTTAAAAAACAGAAGCAGGGGCCTAGGACAAAGTGGAGTCTGATTCAGACCTGCGTTAGCCATTTTAGCTACATCAAGCACCTGAGTTTTAGAGTGCTCTTTCACAAAACTAATTTTGATTGCCTTTGGCCTACCCAAAGCTCTCACTTGAGGAAGAGAGGATAAAACCCAAAGGTGTCACTTGACCTGCATTTCCCCCTCACTTCAGCCAACACAGGCTAAAAGCAGCCAGGGATCCAGTGAGTCATCTCTCCTGCTGTCAGACCTATTATGTTTAATTCCTGGTTAACTTCTACCTAAGGGCAGACAGCAGCTTAGCTGCTGTCACATATCATGCATAAACCCATAGCCACCCCGGCACTACGGTTTTGTCATCCTTTGCCTGTTTTAAGTATTTTTAAAATTTTTATTGTGATTTGGGTGACAGTTTACAGAGTAAATTCATTTTCCATACAGCAGTTCATACACATTTTGTCTCATAGTATTGACTGCAATTCCCACAATGTTAACAGACCTCTTTTTCTTTTGCTTGAATAATGCTATAATTGTATTTAAGTGAGTCAGGGTCGAGGTAGATCTAGCAAATCCTACTGCTGACACCCCTGTGTTAGGGATCCTGAAAACCACCCTCATGTTTGAAGATTTGCTAGAAGATCTCACAGGTCTTGGCATATAATTTACCCTGGCTAAGATTTATTTTATTGTGATTTGGGTGAAAATGTACTTTCTATTCAGCAGTTCACATACACTTTGTCTCATGACATTGACTACAATCTACCCCAATGCAACAGCTTCCCTCCTACTTCCTCCCGATAGTCACCTCTTCTCTGTGTCCATCCCTCCATGCCCTCCTGCCCCCTGAGCTGTCTCCCTGTGCATAAACAGCCCTTCTCTCTCCCATGATTGTTCCCTCCAAGGAGTGCCTGCCTTTTGTTTGGCTGGAAGCCATAGGTGTGGGTTCAATTCCAGACCCGACGGGCAGCTAGGGGACTCTGGCCGATTTATTATGGCGGCACGGTAAGGGTGCATGTTGGGAAAGCTGTCTATTATGCAGTCTCTGGCCCTCACCTGGATCACCTAAGCAGAATCATTGGCCGGGAACATTTCCTGACAATGGAGGCTGCGAACTAAGCCTCCCTGTGCTCCAGTTTCTTCTTCTTCCTAGTCAGGGAAACTTCCTCCCTGGTCCGGGTACACAGGTAACCTTCTCTACATTGTTTCTACATAACCAGGTAGATCACAAGGCACCTGGCCAAGCCCTGTGCTATAGCTGGCCCCAGCTGAAAGGGAACAGGGTCCTGTACCTGCAGCCCAAGAGGGGTGCGTGCAGACCATCTCTCTGGGTCAGCTGCAGGGCGAGTCCCCCTGGGCCTGGGGACAAACACCCACAACCCTAACTGATCTTTATCTTCACTTCTCTAGTGAAGTCCTGTGAGGACAGTGTTATACCAACCAGTGCCTGCTGAGTCACGTCTTTCTTGGTGACTTTGGACCTGGGCTCCACAACACACAGAGACTGAATCTGGAGGGATCCATGTACCATAAGGGGTCATAGGGCACACTGCTCCCAGCAATAAAAACACAGCAACACGTGTATAATGTTTGTGTCCAAGGACACTCATTAAGCTCAGCCCTCAAGGTTTTTGTTGGCTGCTGTCCATGTAGGCCCCTCTGCCGAGCACACACCAAAGTTCCAGACTCCCAACAGCAAATCAGGTGGTTCGCACAAACCATACTGTTTGCACAGACAGCCTATGCATAGTAAGCCCCGCTTTTCAGTAAGGAAATGGTGGGAACACTCCCAAAATTCACCTTCCCAGATGCCAGTTCAGGGTCAGTCTGATGACAGCCTGATCCTGCCACCATGTTTCCATTTCACCTGCAACACTAGACAGTTACAAGGGTGATGTCACTCTGACAGTCCCCACATGCTGTTCACCACCTGCCATCTGCCCAGTGCCTCCAACACTGACTGATAATTTGTGACAATCAATTTTACTCGGGTTCAGGAAATGATACTAATTCTTCCATTCTTTCTACATTTTCCCTTTGCAACTATTATCACCTGTAGCTGTTGTTGTTGTTATATGCCATTGAGTCAGACCCGACTCATAGCGACCCCTCCTTGGGTTTCCGAGGCAGTATCACTATGGAAGTAGGATTGCCCAACCTTCCTTCCGAGGAGTGGCTGGTGGGTTTGAACCGCCAGCCTTCTGGTGAGCAGTCAAGTGCCTTAGGTACTATGCTACCAGAGCTCCTACTGCGAACCAAACAGTAATTAAGTCAATAACCGTGAATTGCTTTGAATAAAGATCGCAAGTAGTTTTGGCAAAATAATAAATTTATTACATACGATTGGCAGATACATATTATTGATATAATATTTGCTCAGTGCTTGGGAAAAAAAAAGTCAAAATGAAAAATAAAACAATTTTAAACATTATACAATTACAGAGGTCCTTGAGGGCAAAAGCCGGGGTCAGGGGGCCCCCTTGTTTTTCAGAGAAGTCAGTGTGAGAGGATTCATCTCTCCCCACATATTTTTTGAGCTCTTTGACCTTCAGCTGCAGGACCTGATCCCAGCCATGCAGCTCAAGGCCTCAGGAGGTTAAGACCACCCAAGATGGCTGCTCTTATGAGCCATCATGAGGATGAGGTCCTGGTTTGGGATGAACAGAGGGCTTCCCTGCAGGGGCCGACAGAGCACAGTCACTGAAGCAGAAACAGGATGAGGCAAGAGGCCAACAGAGGACATAACAGAGGGGCTTGGGGCTCAATTTTGGAGGCCTCTGGGGCAGGGGAGGGAGTGCCTTATGTGCTGCGTCACCAGACCTCCTTCAGGGGAGGTAGTGGGAGACAGGAATCTTCTCCCGGACTCGCTTTCTCCCCTGCTTGCGTGTGGGTCTCCTCTCAATGGAACGAGGGCCATGGTAAAGCAGCAGCAGTAGGTAGATCTGAGAGAACACTCTTTCAACAGTTTCTGGAACCTGAGGACCGGGCCTGGCAGGACCCTCACCTGACCCAAATGTTTCCAGGATGTGAGGGAGGTACAAGCCCTTGATCAAGGAGGGGATCTGGCCGAGAGTCCTAACCTGACTGGAAGACACAGTCAGGCCATTTTCAAGGACAGCCCTTGACTAGGGTAGGACCCGTATGGTCACACTGGAGTTGGTCACACGGGCTCCATAGTGGCCAGCCCAGAACTGTGTGTCCTGGCCCCAGTGTTCAAAAGATACAAAGCGGACACCCATCTTGATGTTGGTGAACACGTGGGTGACCTGTAGGTAGAGAAAGAGGTCAGCTCCGTCTGCCACGGCCTTCTTTCCAAAGGCTGAGGCTGGGGGCCTTCTGGAAGGTGCTGTTTGCCAAAGATGGCCGTAGCAACGTGGACAGTTCCTCACGCCTTAGAGAACACTGCCACTCCCTCAGCAAGAGGTGGAGTCTAATTCCCTTGAATCTGAGTGATTGCCTTGAATCAGTTTGCCTGGAACCAAGAGTGTGATGGAAGTGACGCTGGGTGACTCTCACCAAGTGACTTCCGAGGCCAGGTCAGAACAGGCAGGCAGCTCCTGCCTATTTCTCTAGAAGCTTCACAGTAGAGCTCTGAGCCACCAAGGAATCAGTCTGACTACCCGAGGCCACCATGTTTTGAGGAAGCCCAAACTAGCCCAGATACAAAGAGCCGTGAAGAAGTCCTGACGCTGTAAGATGACAGAGATGCTAGGCCAGCAACCAGGTGTTTCAGTTCTCTCATCTTACTCCCCACCCCCAAACCCATTGCTCTGCCCTTCATGCCAGCCATTGTCTGAATGCAACCACGAGAGACTGGAATCAGAACTGCCCGGCTGAGCCCAACTCAATTCACTGAAGCATAATAATCATGAGAGAAAACTTATTTTAAACTACTAAGTTTTGGGGTGATTTTTAACATAGCAGGAGACCCCCACCATCCTCTCGCCACTCCCCTGGCAGAGCTCACCTGAAAGCAGGCATTGTTGTTCCACTGCTGAATGGGATCAGGGGCAGCAGAGAATTTATCCAGCACAGTCTGGTTGGCATCTATTAGCTCGACAATAAGGCGATACTGACAGCCACAGTCGTGTCGGGCTCCCCACCTATGCAAGGAGGAAGGCCTTCGTTACGGAAGTCCTGATCCCTGGTACCTGTCAATGTGATCTGTTGGGAAGTAGGCTGATATGCTGCCCACCTCGTGGTGAATGTCTTCCTGCCCTACCCAAATGCCCTCCCCACACGTGCACATCCACAGCCCCTAAGTGCTGCTGCTCAAAGGCATGGTCCTCGGCCCAGCACCATGAGCGCCACCCGGGAGCTTGGTGGCAGCCCCAGTGAACCAGAACCCACACTTTAACAAGATTCTCCTGCTGTTTGGTGTACATTCATGTTTCAGAAGCACTGACTGGAGCACCACCTTCCACATTACTAAGGTGGCAACTGAAACTTCTCATTCTACGTTTCAATGGTTGCAGAGCCGGTAATTTCCAATGTTGTGATAGTGATGTTTCAAAGTACAACTTTCATATCATTTTAAAGCATCCAATTGAATCTCAATAAATTGGAGATGTGATACCCAGCAATACTTTTTAAAAAACAACACCTAATGTCCATCCAAACAAAGAAAACAAAAATCCTCACAACTGGACCAATAAGCAGCATCATGATAAATGGAGAAAAGATTGAGGTTGTCAAAGACTTCATATTATTTGGTTCTACAATCAACACCAATGGAAGCAGCACTCAAGACATCAGATGACATACTGTACTGGGAAAATCTGCTGCAAAAGACCTCTTTCAAGTGCTGAAGAGCAAAGATGTCTCTGTGAAGACTAAGGTGCACCTAACCCAAGCCATGGTATTTTCAATTGCCTCATATGCATGTGAGAGCTGGACAATGAATAAGACTGAAGAAGAGTTGATGCTTTTGAGTTGTGGAGATGGCAGAGACTGCTGAAAGTACCATGGACCACTAAAAGAACTAACAAATCTGTCCTGGATGAAGTGCAGCCGGGATGCTCCTTGGAAGCGAGAATGGCCAGATTCTGTCTCACCTACTTTGGTCATGTTGTCAGAAGGGACCATTCTCTAGAGAAGGATATCATGCGTGGTAAAGTGGAGGGTCAACGGAAAAGGGGAAGGCCTTCAACAAGATGAACTGCCACAGTGGCTGCGGTGGTGGGCTCAAGTATGGCAGGGATCAAGAGGCTGGCACAGGACCGGGCAATATTTCATTCTGTTGTACATAACATCACTATGAGTCGGAGATGACTCAACAGCACCTAACAACAACAACGTCCATCCGTGATAGAGAGGAATTATGGTATATTCACATAATGAAATACCACATAGCAATGAAACTAGCTACAGCTATATACAACAATTACACAAGAATCTACAAACATGTGACTGAGTAAAAGAAGCCTGATAAAACTATATCCTAAAAGGACAGCAATAATGGTGGCACAACATGAAAAATGTCACCAATGTCCCTAAGCTGTAAATGGGGAAGTTGTCATGTCAGTGAATGTCGTGTTGTGTATGCTTTCACCAAATAAAAGTAAAAAATAAATAAAATAAAAATGTATCTTATATTCATATGAAATCTAGAAAACAGTATTAGAAAGCAGCATGGGGGTTGACCTCGGGTGGGCAGCGATGGAAAGGGGTCTGTGGGTGAGGGGTGGTTGTTGGCAACGCTCTTGCTCTTCACCTGGGGCCTGGGTCCCTGGGTGTGTTCACTCTGTGACAGTTCACTGAGCTGCACCCCTAAGACACACACTTTGGGTGTGAGAAATTAAAAGCTTAAAAACAGCAATGGATTATAAAAATACATGAACAGGTATCTTCTTTAATAGAGACTTAATATCTTTCTCCCTTCTCCTTAGAATTGAATTGCCATTCCACCTCTCCTATAGAATTTTAGCCTGATGTAATATTAATACACTTCTCTAAATTTTACAAACAAAATTGTATTGGAAATATATCCCTTAATGGCATGGGTTGGGGAGAGGTTATAGAGCCTTGATTAAAAGTGAATTTGGAAAGGCCAAAATTTCAAACGGTCACTTTGCCTGGCTCTCCAGTGATGTTTATGCCTGGTGACCAAATACCTTAGCAAGATTCTAGACAGGCAAGGGGCTTTTTTTCCCATGTACAACCTGAGAAGGGGGATGGTGAGAGAGGGAACGGGAAAGGAAAAGGCATACAATGCCTCCACCACGGATATGACAGATTTTAGGTGTGGATCAAGCTTATATATAGCTGTAGAAGGTTTCCTTTACAACTATCAGTCACTACTAGTTTGTCATACTGTGGTGACTTCAATGTTGCTATGATGCTGGTAGCTATGCCGCCAGTATTTCAAATACCAGTGGGTTCACTCATGGTGGATGGAAAGGTTTTCAGAGGAGTTATCAGACTAAGAGAGACTAGGAAGAAAAGCCTGGCCATTTATTTCTAGATAGAAAATCAGCCAATCAAACCTTACAGATCACAACAGAATATTTTCTAGAATAGTGTTAGAAGATAAACCCCATAGGTTGGAAGGCACCCAAAATACATAGTGACTTTAACCACAGACTTGAGCGTATCAGTAACTGAGGATGCAGAGGACGAGGCAAGATTCCACCCTGCTGTACATGGGGTCACCATGAGTCAGAGTGACTCGAAGGCAACTAACCACCAACCCTTCTGGGTTATGTATCTCTTGGAAAGACTTCGGGTACCACAGTTCGAAGACCATTGCTTCAGGACTGGAATCAGACAAGTATAATGCCAGGTTCTGCAGAAGACTAGCTGTGAAACCAGGGCAAATAACTCCCTTCTCTGATCTTCAGTTTCCTATGATGCTCTGAGGGCCTGAAAAACACCTTCCTACAGGATCAGTCATCCTGTACTGGTAAGATAATATCCATATGCTTATGAGGAAAACCAGTTAATATGACTATAATTGAAATTTACACACCAACCATTAATGCAAAGATGAAGAAAGTGAAGATTTTTCACCAACGTCTGCAGTCTGAAATTAATCAAACATTCAGTTAAGATGCCTTGGTAATAGAAATGATGCTGGAGATCACACGATAGAATCTGCAAGACCAATGACTTACTGGTTGCAAATACCTTTACTTAACAACATAAATAGTGACTATACATGGTGATCTCACCAGATAGAATCCACAGGAATCAAACTGAGGAAAGAGACAATGGAGAAACTCAACACCATCAGTCAGAATGAGGCCCAAGGCCGGCTGCAGAACACACCATTGATTGCTCAAATGCAACTTCAAGTTGAAGCTGAAGAAAATTAAAAAGAAAGTCACTGAGAGCCCAAACAGGACCTTGAGTAAATCCCACCTGAATTTAGAGATCAGCTGAAGAGTAGGTTTGACGCACTAAACACTGATGACTGAAGATGAGCTGTGCTATGACATCAAGGACATCATACTCAAAGAAAACAAAAGGTGCGGTACAGTCAATTGCTTGGTATGGCCTTTCTAGCCACGGTCTTTGCGACTCTCACCAGATGACTGGATGGGACTATGCGAATATGAGGTGCTGTGGCCCACCAAGGGGATCAGAGAGCTTGCTAAAAATGTAAATGAGGTGCATGGCATGCTTGTGGGGGTGGGACCAGGCAAATAAAATGTGTGGAACCTGAATGTGGGGGTTGGTCAATTGTGCCACTTTGCTAGGCTTAAAATGAGTCATCCCAGAGACAGGAGGGGCTCTCACTACCTTAAGAAAGAAGAAGTAGGAATGGAGTGCAAAGACCTGAGATGCCTGTGCTAAACCTCCCCACCCCAGGAGACAGAGAGCTGTAGCACACTGTTGAGCTGGCGAGAGACAGCAAGCCGCGGCAGCAGCAAAGACATGGTGGCGGCAGACCCGGCAGCAACAGCAGGATCAGAGCAGAGTTTTCAAAAAACACTTGTGATGTGCTTGACGTGTAATAACTGTCTTTAGAAGAAAACCACCTTGTAAAGGGGAGAGAACTGAGGTACACAGTGACCTCTTCAAGGGCACACAGCTGTAAAGCTGGACTTCTACCCCAGGTGGTCGGGCTCCAGAATCCCAGCTCTTAGGCCATTTTGCTAAATTGCCTCCTCCTAAGGTAAGGAGCACAGGAACCCTGGTGGCACAATGGTTAGGTGCTTGGCTGGTAATTGAAAGGTCGGAGTTCAAACCTACCAGCAGCTCAGTGGGAGAAAGACCTGGCAATGTGCTCCTATAATGATTGTTGTTGTTGTTGTTGTTATGTGCCGTCGAGTCGGCCCCGACTCATAGCGACCCCTCCTTGGGTTTCCGAGGCAGTATCACTACGGAAGTAGGATTGCCCAACCTTCCTTCCGAGGAGTGGCTGGTGGGTTTGAACCACCAGCCTTCTGGTTAGCAGCCAAGTGCTTTAGCCATTATGCTACCAGAGCTCCCAATAATGATTACAGCCTAGGAAATCCTAAGGGGCAGTTCTTCTCTGTTAGAAGAGTTGAAAATCGGCTCACAGACACAACAAAAGACAACACACATCTCATTCACAGACAAGACTGAGCTGGGTCCAAGGTCTTCTTATCGGATCCAATCTGCCATCCTCCACCCTAGTTCCCTTCGGGTGAGGAGAGGGGTTCAGGGTTCGGCAATCTGCTTCCGCAGTGAGACGGCCCCAAACCCAAGGAGGAGTCACTATGAGTCGGAACCTACTGGACAGCACATAACAACATTCTGCTAATTACTAGAAGCATCATTGTGATGAACTCACTTCAGTTTCTTTGTGTCACCCAGGCAAAAAGTCTCAGCTCATGTCGTGCCCAGCAAAGGAAAATCACTACACTCACCAGTCAGAGACAAGGATCTCAATCCTGCCACTATCCAGCAGTTCTGGCCACAGACCCTCCTCCTCCAGGTCCAAGACCTGCTTCTTGCGACACCATCTAGGAAGGCGGGAGCAGGGGCAATGAGAATGGGCAGCTCCCCCCAGAAAGGCCCCGGCCCTGGGAAGCAGAGGCATTCACCTGAAGGAAGTCACAAAGCAAGTCTGCGCAGAGGCCCCGGGTATGGTTGTCTTGTTTCCTTCCACCACCCAGCCGTCCCCACCGTGCTCCACCATCCATTTCCGAAGGCCTTCTGTTAAACAAAGAAGTGTGCACCCATGTCCGCCTTGGAAGGCAGGCCTGGAGGTCTGTTTCCCAAAGATCAGCCTTCTAAGTCCTAGGAAGCAGTTCTTCTCAGCACACACGGGGTCGCTAGGCGTCAGAATCGACTCCATGGCAAGTAACCACCACCTGCACCACCCTGGTCCCAATCGCCCATCTCTCTCCATCCCCTCCACCAGCTTCTGGGTGCAGCACTGCCCCGGCGGCCCCGCCCCGGCTCCCCTGTGGCTCACCCCTTTGGCCCTACAGGCGGGCACCTCACCCTGGCCGCAGGAGTTGCGGATGAGGTTTCGTCCTAGCGGCCTGCGGTCGCAGAAGCGGCCCAGGGCGTCCGGAGCGGCGGGCAGGCAGCTGCGGACGAGTGACAGGAGGGCGCGGCCCGCGACGCTCTGGTCCCGAGCCAGGATCAGCAGCCACAGGGCCTGGCCGTCCACCAGGGCGCGCCAGCCCCGGCATACTTGGCGGCAGCTTCTGAGCAGCCAGCGCGGGGGTACGTGGCTCAGGACCACCACCAGCAGCTCCGGCGGCAGTTGGCTCAGGTCCAGCACCTCCTCGGGTTCCGGCTCTGGAGCGGGAACCGGGGCCAACCGGCCCCTGGAAGCTAAGGTGCCCATGCTTCTCCCGCCAGGCCCTGCGGCGGCGGCTACGGGACCCGGAACCTCCGCGGCGCGTAGCCTCCGCCGATCTCCCTCGCCCTGGTTAGTCGCACCCAAAGACTTCCTCTGTCCCCCGGCCTCTTGGTTCTCATTCCCATTCCTAGGCTCTTTCCCAAGTCCCCTAGTCCGTCCTTGTCACTTGCCAGGCGCCCTTTCCTGTTCACCCAATCGCCTTCTTCTGCAGCTCGCCATGCCTAGCCGAGATCCCCGACAGAGCTCCTCGGCAGCGGGCCCTCGCCGAGCCCCACCCCCATCCCACCCCCGCCTCGCCGTCCCCAGATCTTCTTACTCGCCAGCACCTCCCCTCCCCAGGCACTCGCCGGCTTCTCGCCGCAGGGTAACCCAGCCGGCGCTCGCCTTGGCCAAGCGCTGGTGCAGGCGCCGGCGTAGGCGTAGGCGGCGTAGGCGCCTCTCTCCTTTCGCGGACGTTCCCCTGACCTGGCTGTAAAGCGCCGGGCTCCAAGCAACTCGTGTTATTTTGGTTAGGCATCCGGGCGGAAAGGTGCACGTCTGTTAACTCGCTTTAAGGTTGCTACAGCCTTTAAGGCAGGGCATCTGCAAGGATATTAATATTAATATCAATTAAATATTATTAATACTAATTCTCACATCAGAAGACTCAGTCATAGCTATTCAATTCAGTCCCAATCCCACTGCACGTGCTGTACTTCTTCCAACCATCCAGGGGGCAGGTCGTACCTCACAAGTTAGAGGCCAAGTGGGACCAAGACTTCAGGCGCCAGATACAAGCATGAGGGTCTCCACTACACCCTCCCTTCTGACCTCCTGGATGTAAATTCGGGTATTCCCACTACCCCCTCAGGATGCCAACCATTAGGTCAGGGATTCCCAGGGCTCCCCCACTTCTGACCTGCTGGCTCCCCCTAGTCCCTGGGGGTTTAGAATTCACCAAAACGCTACTTACTATTCCAGTTTTATTACAACACGAAAAATACAAATGAAGCGATGCAGAGGAAGGGTCCGGCAAGTTTCCCGAGGCAGGGTTTCCGTGCAGACGCGTATCTAGGGGAAATGGCGCCTTATCACTACCACTCACAGAGTGGATTCTGACTCATAGCGACCCCATAGGAGAGAACTGCCCCGATAGGATTTCCAAAGCTGTAAAACTATATGGAAACAGACTGCTACACCCTAATCCCCCCCCACACACACACACAGTGGCTGGTGGGTTCGCTGACCTTTTGGTTTGCAGATGAGCGCCTTTAAACAACTGCACCAGGGCTCCTTAGGGTTGGTGGCAATTCTTTTTTGAAAATTTTTATTGTAATTTGGGTGAAAATTTATAGAGCAAAATCATTTCCCATACAGCAGTTCATACACATTTTGTCTCATGGCATTGACTGTATTTCCCCACAATGTAACACTTCTCTTCCCACTTCCTCCCAGTAGTTAACTCTTCCCTGTGTCCTTCCCTCCCATGCACTCACACCACCCCCACCCCCAGCTGTCTCCCTGGGCATACTCTGCCCTCTGTTCTCCCATGATTGACCGTTCCAGGTAGTGTATCTACCCGATGTAAATACTCACCGCATATGGCTGGCTGTTCTTTGTCTGGAAGCCACAGGAGTGAGTTCAATGCCAGATCTGAAGGGTGGCTAGGTGCCACAGTCTCAGGGGTCTCACCAGTGGTGACGATTAATTTTAAATCGCTGAAAGAGCTCACACAGCTGGGGATGGACATGATGAAGGTGGACTTGAGTCCCTGCCTGGTGTGCGATTAAGCCAAATCAGTTCACACACCACTCATCTGTCTCCAATCAGCGTGGGGGATGGTTATGGAAAAAATGGGGAATTGAACTATATAGTCCAACTCAGCTTCAATGAGATGGCCAATGGAAATCACTCTTTGGCATCCTCCTTTAAGTGGCACCCAGAGCACACGCCAGACCCACCATACCTTAGACAGCCTCTGCTTCCATGCCCCCAAAATGGGCACACTACTGTCTCACGTGCATCGATCTGTCACCCACCAGAGAGCCCATGGAATTTCCGTGTCCCTTTACTGAAGCCTCATTACATAGGCATGACTGAGTGAACTCAACCTTCAGCCCCCTTCCCCTGAGGCTGGGCTGGTATCATGGCTGATAACTTCAGGGTAGGGCTTTGTGGCCTGGCCAACACACACCCCAGAGACCTCACTAACATACTTCCTCAAGTCTGGAGGCTTCATGAAAGAAACTTCAATGAGAGGAAATGGCAAGGCTCAGTTAGAGGTTGAGGAGCTCTGAGGGTGCAGTGGTTAAAGCATTGGTTAACCAAAAGGTTAGTGCTTCAAACCCCCCAATTGCTGGGAGAAAGATGAAGCAGTCTGCTTCCATAAAGATTACAGCCTTGGAGACCAGGTTTGCTGGTCTGATAGAGCCGGATGGAACCCTTCAGGTCTGGAATTGAACCCACTCCTGTGGCTTCCAGCCAAACAAAAGACAGGCCTATGAGCTGAACATTTATATTAGGTAGATACACTCCTTGGAGAGAACAATCATGGGAGAACAGAAAGGCAGTGTATGCACAGGAAGGTCACACACACACACACACACACACAGAGCGAGAGCGAGAGCGAGAGCGAAGTATATGTTGTGGAGGGACCAGGGAAGAGGTAACTATGAGGAGGAAATGGGAGGGGAGTTGTTGCATTGTGGGAAACTGCAGTCAATGTCATGAGACAAAGTGTATGTGAGCTGTTGTATAGAAAGTGAATTTTCTCTGTAAATTTCCACCCAAATCACAATAAAAACTAAAAAAAAACAAAACAAAAACCTAGAGCCTTGGAAACCCTATGGCGCAGTTCTATTCTGTCTTCTAGGGGTGCTGTGAGTTGGAATCAACTAGATGGCAGTGAGATTTTAGAGGTTCTTTCTCAGGAACCAAGGACAAGGACTAAACTCTTTGGGTAATGTTAGATTCTTTATCTCACACCATCTGTTATTCCCATTTTCATGGGAGAAAACAGGCTTTACTTCATTTGGTTCCAAAAATGAGTGCTCAAACCAATAATGGTACCAGAACCTTTACAGAAGTTTTTATTGCCAGTCAGGGTCACAACCCCATGAGGTAGGTACTGCTACATCCCCGTTTCACAGGTAAAGAAACTGAGGCCCACAGAGGCCAAGTGACTTACGGTCGCACAGCTAGTAGGTGGCAGAGCTGAGATTTGAATCCAGGCAGTCTGGCTCCAAAATACCAATTCTGTCCACTAAAAATCGGTTTGTGCCAATATATCAAAAAAACAAATCAAACCCACTGCTATGGAGTCAGTTCCAATCCACAGCAACCCCTGATGGGTTTCCAAGGCTGTAAATCTTTAAGGAAGTAGATTTCCTTAAATCTTCCTCCCATGGAGCATCTGGTAGGTTTCAAACACCAGCCTTCTGGTTAGCAACCAAATGTCTCACCCGCTATGCCACCAGAGCTCCTTCTGTATGTATGTGGATCAGCAAAAAAGAGGACGACCCTCAATGTGATGGTTTGACACAGTGGCTGTAACAACAGCGGACTCAGGCAGCAATGCCTATGAGGCTGGTGCAGGGCCAGGCAGTGTTTTAATCTGTTGCACATGGGGTTGCTCTCAGTCAGAACTGACTTGATGGCACCTAACAACAACAACGTATAATTTTAGGTATCAGCAAATAAAACCAGACATGGATTACTGCCCATATGGACCGTCCCTTCTAGAGGCAGAAATATGATGAAAAGTAGACCTAATAAGTAAATGATAAAATGACGTATTAGAAAGTGATTGCGACAGGAAAACAGCAGGGAAGGAGGACTGAACGAACGGAAGTAGGCCCGGCTGGGTGCACAGGACAGGGCCCCTCAGCTCTGAGAGATGGAGCTATTTCACTAGCTTAATTAATTTTCCTATGACTCGTCCTCGGAAGGAAGGTTGGGCAAGCCTACTTCCGTAGTGATACTGCCTCGGAAACCCAAGGAGGGGTCGCTATGAGTCGGGGCCGACTCGACGGCACATAACAACAACAACATGACTCGTCCAGCAGTTTGTCCTACTGTGGTAGTCTGCGTGTTGCTATGATGATGGAAAGGAGGCTTGGTGGTGCAATGGTTTAAGCACTCAGCTGCTAACTGAAAGGTCAGTGATTTGAACCCAACGGCACAGCTCCGTGGGAAAACAGACCTGGGGATGTGCTCCACAAAGAGCAGCCCAGGAAGCCTACCGGGCAGTTCTGCTCTGTCATGGAGGGTCACTATGAGTCAGAATCAACTCCACACACAACCACACGGCGATGGACGCGACACCACTGATGTTTCAAATGCCAGCAGGGTCACCTGCTGAAACCAGGTGCACAGGCTTCAGTGGAGCTTCCAGACTAAGACAGAGAAGGAAGAAAGATCTAGTGATCTACTTGTGAAAATGACCCAATGAACACCTCGGGGACCACAGACTACTGTCTGAGCCTTCAACTTTGGACATGTTACTAGAAGGGACTGATCACATCATGTCCAGTAAAGTGGAGGGCCAGGAAAGGGCAGGGAAACCCTCAGTGAGATGGCTTGACACCATAGTCTAAGGAACAGACTCAAAACATAACCACTGCAAAGGCATCCAAATTGGTAAGGAAGAAGTCAAACTATCCCTATTTGCTGATGATATGATCCTATACCTAGAAAACCCAAGAGATTCAATCAA